TATTACTTCAGAAGATGAAAGCAGTGATAATAATATTATGCTAAATTACAATAATAATGATGATAATAATTCATTATCTGAAAAATTAACTGAAGGCATTCAATATAGCCATATTGATAAATTCAAAGATTATTCAGTACCAAATATTGATTATGATGAATTTTGATTTAGCTCTAAAGTATTATTTATTTATGATAATATATTAATTTAATTATTAAATTTTTAAAGCCAATTTAAAGTGTTTAAAGAGGCTACTGAAGTTTTGGTTAAATATATTTATCAACCTAACTATTTAACTAAATATTATGTTTTGTTGTGAATTAATCTTTTATCCAAAATTTGTTCAACTTTATATTTAGCTTTATTAGATTCAGGAATGATAATAGGTTAAAGTAAGGCTTTATAGTTAAATTCTTCAGATTTTTGATAAGGTTTTAATATTGAAACATGAAATACAGAATGAATTTTCAAAGTAGAGAGTAAGTCTAATTGATAACTTGTAAATAAAATTTTGGCAAAGATAGTATAAGGTCTTAAATATTTCAGAGCCAATTTACAAGTAGGTCTGTATTTGTCAATAGAATTGTTAATATTATAGGCTAATAACATAACCTTATCACTAATATTAAAGTTTAATTCATGCCAATGTTGGTTTGCATATTTTGTTTGCCTTTCCTAAGCTATTATTAAAGTATCTTTAGCAATTTTAATTATGTTGTTCCAATGGTTAATAAAATTCTTAACAGCAGTTACTTAATTAAGTTTGTTAGTTGCAAGTAAAGCAGAAGTGTTAGGGTGTTATTCACAATTTAATTCAAATAGAGTAAATTTAGTAGATGCTTGTTTAGAGTTGTTGTAAGCAAATTCAGCTGCAAGCAAATACTCATTCCAAGTATCCTGTTTGTATGTTAAATATGCTCTAAACATTTCCTTCAAAATATGATTCATTCTTTTAGTTTGGTTATCAGTTTGAGAATGAAAAGCTGTAGACATTGCTAATTTAGTTCCAATATAATTAAAAAGTGATTTTCAAAAGTTACTTGTAGCAGCAGGGGGGGCAAGCAGACTTAATGTGTAAAAAAAAATACTACTGGATCATTCTCATGGGCCTTATGGGGTTCACTATCATATATAAAAAATATATTATTTTTTGCTACTCTACTTGGCTTTAAAATTAGATTAGAAGCTCTATAATCATGATGTAAATTTTTATATATCAAAAATCTACTCTAATACCTTCTATTTATTAAGTTTACTAATTTGTTTTTTTGCCTACCTGAAGTCTTATTAATCTCAAAGAAAGTAATTTCTTTTCTTGCCTATCTAAAGCCTTGTTAAGTTTAAGAATATAAGTTTGTTCAATACTCTACTCGACTTTAAAATTGGGTTAGAAGGCTTATATCGTAATGTATTTTTTTTTATATCTAGAATGTTTTCTAACTCCCTCTTACTCATTAAGATTGTTAATTTGAATCCTTACCTACCTGAAGTCTTCTTAACCTTAAAGAAAGTAATATATTTTCTTATCTATTTAAAGTTTTGTTAATCTTAAAAATGTAAATTTATCTTCTTACATATCCAAAGCATTGTTAATCTTAAAAATACTATTTCATTAGCAAGAAACAAATAAAAAAAGAAAGCATGCAGACTGGGTGTATAAAAAAATTATATCTGCAGAACACTTTGACATGCCATTGGGGTCACTATCAGAGCATCTTGGTGGATTATTGTGAAAAGGCATTAGCTCTATTCCGAAGCCTATTAATATATTAGATTACATAGCAACACTGGCATGTTTTTTGCAAAGGCCGGGTTCAGAGCTAGTCAGCTTGCTACAACCTTGGAGAAGACACTTGAACTTGCTCTCCTGCTTCTTCGGCTCTGTTCGCTGACAGCTCTAAAAGCAATTCATCAAATTTCATTTGAATAAAAGCATCTCACCTCTAGGTGTAAAAAAAAAACAGATAGCATAATATAAAAAAAAATGGCTAGCAAGATGTAAATAAAAAATTATCAGCCAAAATAATCTAGCTTTACTAATCTTCAAAGAGGTCAATACCCATATTCTCACCATCTGAATCAATCAGAGCTTTAGGAATATTACCAAAGGTAATGATTCTGGATTGAAAGATCATAACCTTATTACCAGGCTTGAAAATCAGAGCTTCATCTCCAGTATCTTCTGATTCTTTGCTCATGATTGGAGCAATAGTGCTGGTTACCTGTAGTGCTTCGATTTGTAGACCCTGCTTTCCTGCTTCTTTAGTTTTGTTTACTGACAGCTCTAGAAGTAATTCATTAATTTTTATCTAGATTAAATTATCAGTATTAGCTTTATTCCAAAGCCTATTAAAATATTGAGTCACATAATAGGTACCAGAATGCTTTCTACAAAGGCTGGGTTCAGAGCTAGTCGGCTTACTGCAAACCTTACAAGGAATGCGAGGTTTAGCTTTCCAATGTTCAAAGCAACCTTCTGGCTGATGGCTGGTTTGCCTACAAACCTATTCAGTTCTAAGTAAATAGTTGCAAAAATATTCACCTTGCATAGTAATAAGAAATAAATATTTTATTTTAAACTAAAGTTTTCGCTATATTAATACAAATAATATTCAATACTTATATGAAATAGTTAACTACAAAAATATTGAAACAGCTTTAGTTGAAGTGATTAAAGTAGCATATAGTTAAGGTACCAAAAAATATGACAAATTAGGAGTAATGTATGTAAACTATCTTAAAACCTTACAATGAAAAAGAGATCCAGAAGATCATATTAGATATGTTGCAAAGCAGCGAGTTCCAAATAAGGACATCTATAATGAAAGAATGGCAGACTTCAAAGATTGGTATAATGAAGAAGTATATACTAGTCTTGAAAATTTATATAAGTTGTATTTTGAATTAGCTAGTCAGGAAAAAGTTGTAGAAAAAAGATCCAAAGAAGAAGTAGATAATATTCTTCAAAGAATTCACAGTTTAGAAATTTAATATTATTTAAGAATCTATTTAGGTGGATACACAACTTTACCAACTTTCATTAATTGTCCTCTTACGAATGATCTTTCAGGACCATCTTCATTTTCATCTATAAGCCAGTATAACACTGGTTGATTTTTTTGTATTAATGATTCTTTAATGTGATAAACCTTTGGAGACCAATTCATATCAGTTATGCGTCTTCTGCCAAATTCTAATTCTCCGAGTTCGAGTAAATATAAAACTGAATCTTTATAGGTTAACCAAGGTTCATCAAATCCAATAGGTCTACGATGTTTATAGATGGATTAGCAATTATTTTTTCAGCCTTTAAAGCTTTTTTTACAGCTTCATTAGGAGACATATAAATTAATCAGGTAAGAATATCATTATAAATATCATCATTAATATGAAGACCTTTAACCCAAGATCGACATCTCTCAAATAATGGTAAATAAAAATCTACAGCATCTTGACAAATATAGGCATGTTTCTCAAATTCTTGATGATCATGTTCAGCTATTGATATACTACATTTAGATTTAGCTTGTATAATTTTTACACCATGACTAAGTAATAAATCTCTACACTCACCTAGATATTCAGTGCCTTTATTCATAATTAAAACTTTTGGCCATGTAAGATAATTATTAGGATCTTCATAAATTGCTTTAAACATTTTAGCTAATGATACAAAAGACTTATTAGTTAAAGCACAACTTTTACGAAATCTAGTCGCTACATCTTTTATAACACCCCTATGCTTGAAAATTCGATTATCAATTTTATTATGAGAAAGAGGTATAAGATCTGATTTATGTACTTCATTTAAATCACATATGCTATTAAAAGATACATATTGAATAAATCTTGGTTGAGGTTTATGAACTAAAAAAGTTATATGTTCATTTAACCAGTTTTTTATATCTGCTAATAAAAAATTATAACCAGCATTTCTACAAGCAATATGTATTTTTTCAGCAGTCTGATAGTAACCTTCAGGCTTATAATATAGTTTTTGCAATATGATCACTCTATCCAAATCATAGGCCTTCTGTGGGTCAATATAAATCACAGGTTTCTTCATTCCTTGCCAATTCGTTTTTCTCATTGTCAGGATTATATAGTATAATAAAAAATAGTTAACAATATATATCTGAGCACGAACTTGTGAGTGGATAGCATTATAGTCAATAAAAAACAATGAATGAGTTACAACAAACCAACCAAGAACTCTATGAGGTAGTATCGCAATTAGTGAAATCAAATAGGAATTTTGAACAACATCTATATACCTTAGAAAGGGCTATAGATATACGGAAAGAGAGAATACGATTTCTTGAAGAAGAGTTAAATAATGCTATTGAACTCTCTACACAAGAGAAAGAAGAATTAATAGAAGAAATTTCAAAATTAAAAAGAATCGTTCACCAACTCGAGTAAGAAATAAAAAGAAAGACAAAGAAATTTCTAATAAAGATAGATTAATATCAGAATTCGATGAACGTGAAACAAAATTAAAAACCAGAATACGAGAGATATCTAAATCAGCTGAAAATACGTCTAAAGCACAAGATTATACAACCAAATTAGTAGACGAAAACGAACACCTTAAATTAGAAATAAATACAATAAGGGTTAATCAAATAAATAGAATTAATAAAATAAATCAGCAAAAAAATCATATTACAGACCTGCTTTGTCAAAATTTTGCATTAGCATTATTAAGATATCGAGATAGATTAGAGCTTATAAATACATGAGAGATAATAGAAAATGCACAAGCATGAAATTATAATGAAGATGAATCTAATTCTGATGAAAATTCTCAAGATAATTATACTTTTGATTTAGATATGGGCACAATAGCTGAATTGGCTGATGCTATAGACAGATCCTTAAATGATACGGCAATATGTAGAACCGTTTTAACAAATCAAATTAAAAGATCAACAAGATCAATCCGACATAAATACACTAACCTACAACAAGATCTGGTAAACGTACGATGGGACCGAGATATGTACAGGCAGGAGCAAGATCAGGCATTGCTTGATCTTCAGCAGTTGCGAACTAATGCTCAAAATCAAGTAAACAGAATGTTAGACAATATAACAGGAAAGTGAACCCGTATTGGTGTATTACTACAGGAAAAATTTGCCTTTCAACTACTGTATCTGCAAAAGGTTCATCATCTAAAGCGATGTAGGAGGGATAGAGATTTGCTAGAATATAATCGAGATAGATTATATGAACGATATGAGAAGTGGAAAAATAAGACTCATACAGAGCACCAGAATATTTTAAATTTAAATCAACAAATTTTGGTGCTTTATAATAATCCACCAAATCAAATAAATATGGCTAATGCTAGACATTTATCGATATTAAAATTAATGGCTTCTGCTCTTGCAAAATTTCCACCTTATATGGGCCAAGAACCACTTGATGATTACTTGAATAAAGTTATTCAATCATAGGCATATCTTGAAGGGCATATGACAGTTCTTGAAAATGCAAATGCAGGAGATTTTGACAATGCAGTCAAGTGTAATATTTTAAAATCTATGATGGGTGGAAAATATGTTCCAGTACTAGCAAATAATAATCTTGAAGTAGGAAATCCAACTATAAATTCTCCAGATACATTACAGGCTTGAATGAGAGCAAAATACTAATAGAAGACAGTTGGAAATCAGCAATCAGCTATACAAAGATTGACTTAAGAAAAATACCAACCTTATGATACTTCAGATACTTATGAAGCTAAAGTTTGGCCACTATTATTAGGAGTGACAGACAATAACGTGCAAGTTATAGAATTTCTTAAAAGCCACTTAACAGGTGATTTTTACACTTGGATGAGAATAGCTAATACAGCAGACATTAATGCATTTTTCACTGAACTAAAAAACATGTGGCTGGAGCATGCACCAAATTTGAATGGTCAAGTTTCTCAACAATCTTCCTATAACACCAAAATAATAGAAGCTCCTATAATTCTGCAATCAGTATTTCCTATACCTGATATACAAAAAATGATTGATGAGGCATTAGCGAAACAAAAATCCAATTATGATGCTGAGATAAAAAAATTGAGAAAGGAAGTTCAATTATCAAAAGTACAGAAAACACAGATACCAGTTCCACAAACCATTGAACCAGTTAGACAACCAAGAGCCCCTCCATCAAATTTAATTACAAAAGAAGATTATGAAACTTATTATTTAGGTAAATACTTAAATAATTTAGGTATATATAGTAAAGAAAATTTAGATTCAAATTATTCTAAAAAACCTTTTCAAAGATCTCATCCACAGCAAAAAGATAACTCTACGAGATTAGAGAAGAAAGTAGATAAAATTGGGCATATGTTATCTCATCTTAATATAAACAATCAACCCAAAAAACCAATAGCCAAATCAAATCGAACACAACAATATTATCCTTTTCAACCAATAAATTATAACTTTTTAGCTAATAATGAAAATAGTAGATATAATGAAGAAAATGATATATAGTATGACGATGATTTCGAAAAAAAAAATGAGTACCAGTAAATAAAAACTTACCTGGTAACTCTGCTAATCCTTCTTCTGATCTAGCAACTATCCACCCCAAAACATATGATCAGTTATTGTCTAAGCTTTTACCAGCAATGCAAAAAATGTGTCAGTCTCATACAGTTCAGAAAAAAGAATCAGATGAGTGGTTTTCATCTCTACAATACCTAAATGCTAGTATAAACGATTTATCTATTTCTAAATCATTTTTAGATAATGGAAGTGAATTTGGAGCCTTTAATAATGCAACAATTAATGCCCTCAGATGAAAAGCTGACAAGCCATCTGACTTCAATATAAAAGGTAACTACAAACATATCACTGAATCGTTGGAATGGTTTACAGATGTGCCAGTCAGTATAAAAGATAAGGATGATAAAACTGTTACAGCTACTGGAAATTTTACACGTATTGATAATGATGAACCTGAACCAATGTTATGTTTAGGTATGACATGGATTCGAAAAGTTCAAGGTATTCTTGATCCGAATAAAAACCAATTCCGAATGAAATTACATGGTAGGTCTTTTATTATTCCAACTTTTAGCAAGACTCCAGAAGTCTCACAAAGTAAGGATGCTATTGCATCTAAGGATCTGGTTTAAGTATCTACTATCTTATCTAGCTTGACTAGTAAGAAAGACAAAAAAAAATGCGATGAACTTGAAAAATGAGTCATGATAACTGAAGAATGGCTTGATATAGCTTTAAAAGCAGATAAAGTTCTTGCTGAAAGATGTTCTCAGCTTACTGAGACAAAGATAAAAGCATAGGAGCTAATCTTTTAGTATCTTTCATTAATTTTTCAAGATCAGCCTTTCTCTTAGATGTATTGTCTATGGAAGAGGCACTTTTTTTTACTGCATATGAGGAAGTAGAACTTTGAATCTTTGGTCATCCCATCTCTGCTAATTTATCTAGTAAAACTTCAAAGTGGTTCACATTAGTCAAGAGGCTAGCTTTATAGCTATTTATATTAGATGAATTATTGCTGAAGCCTGGTACTTCGTGGCTAGATATATTATTTATTTCATATGATTGAGGTATAAGTTGATCCCAAGTGACCCTATTATCTTCTTCTCCTCTCCAGATCTGATAAATCTGTTTTGATGATGTTTTATATTTATCTAATAATTCCTTTAACATTTTGTATCTTGGCTTTATATTACAACATTGCATTATATATGAATAATCTTCAGCTGAAAACAAAGATGCATCAGATTTTATACGTACTCTAACCATACTAATAAGTGTAATTACTTTGTTTTTTATCTAATAAAATATATCGAAAAAATAAAAATTATAAAATATATCAGAAAAATAGAATACATTAAATATATAGGATTATATTATTTAATTAATACATATATTCTATCTAATATATTAAAATTATCACATTAATAAATATGTATATTCTATTTAATACATTATATTTATTTTTTATATTTATTTCAGTAATATAACAATAAAGCTAGTGTTAAAACATATATGCCTCGAATTTATACATTGTCAGATATAGGTGAAGGCAGTAAATTAGGCGACATACCATCTAGTCGATATCCACCTAGTCGAACAGAACTTGAAAATTAGCTTGCTTGTGCAAATCGAGATCGAGAAATTGCTATAGAGTGTGGCAATCGACTTGCCAATAAATGTTCTATCTTAGATAAAGACAATAAGCATATACAACGTGATCTAAAACAATCTAATAATGATAAAGAGAAACTCTCCAAGCATACCTACTAGCTTATAAATGAGGTTAAGCGATTGAGCTCAGAGTTAGATACTTTAACATCTCAAATTAACCAATTACAGATTTCTAATACTAAATATGGAGCCAAGGATATCATTCGATTGAAAAAAATAAAATCACTCCAGTCAATGAACAAAATATTAAAAAGTAAGTTAGTGTCAGCTCAGAAGGATGCATTCTCAACTCAGAAAGAGATAGTAAAAAAAGAATCTGAGATCATATCTCTCAAGTCTGAATTAACAAATATAAAGAATGAACTAATGAATACAAAAGATGAATTAGCTTCAAAAATTAAAAAAATTAAGTATTTAGTCACTTTACACTCTGTTTCACAGAAAACAAAGGATATATTAGATCCTGTAGAGTCGAAGACTCATTGCTCTGCAATAGTTATAGGAGGTGAGGAAAAAAATATGCAAAGCGAGGAACAAAGTTTCATATTAAATTCTAGAAATACATCTGAATCTAGACCTGAAGGGTCATTGCTTTGCAGGCCCTTTAAGGGTGACTCTTCGAGTCATAAAAGTCTTGCAAAATATTTTAAAAGTAAAACATTACCAATTATCACAAATAATCAGAATTCAGAGTCATTGATTCAAGATATTACAAATAAGCAGAATCCGGAGTCATTGATTCAAGATATTACAAATAAGCAGAAACCGGAGTCTTTGATTCAAGATATTACAATAAAAGAGACAGTATGCGCTGGTGAGGCTTTAGTTAATGATAAGTATCAGATTCCTTCTTTTATTAAAATTGTCATTATTGTAATAATAGTGATATTAATTATTTGGTATATATATAGGAATATTTTTCATCTACTCCCACCTTCTCATTCTTTGAACTCGAAGCCAGATTATAGCTACCATATGACCGCCTCTGACAATTTGTTTTCTGGAATATACTCATAGAGTGAAGGCACTAATGTGCCTAAACCGATCATGAACGAACAAAGTGAAGTAAATTATCAGGGGAAAGAAATTTTTTATCCAGTTTATAGAAATTATAGATATGAATTCCCAGGAAGCAGTGCTTCAAGTTTTCAATTCATCTGATATACAAAAAAAATCAAAAGAAAGAACTATTGCAGAACAAGCCTGTAGGGCGAACCAAGGATTATGGCTTATCGAGCTTATTTTCAAAAAAAATGAGTTTCACTCTACCATCTATGAAACTTTATCTTATAGATATAGATGAAGCTAATAAACATGAATCAATTCGAAATGTTGGATATCCAGCAATGTCATGGCCTTTCAGTAAAGTATTTACTAGTATAAGTGGTAAAGGTAAGACAAATATAGTTGGAAATCTTGTTCTGGAAGATAAAGCTGAAAATATATACAAAGGTAAAAAAAGAGAATCCTGATATATTAAGTGTGATGATTTGATAGTTTGTGAATTTCATCCAGATAAGCCAAAATAGGCATTTGTTAGATATATGTATGGAGTAATCACAGGTAATCCTAAAGCACCTTACTATGAAAATATAAGATTTAAATATATCTTATCTGAAAAAATTCCTAGTATAAAATCATTTTCTTCAGAGAGGAGTATTGTAATTATTTTTGAGGATTTATATGTAGCCCCCAAGTCCATCCAAAATCGAATTATTCTATTTTTCATACATGGCGTCATCGGAATATTAGTTCAATTTACATAACGCAAAAATATCATCATGTCCCAATAATTATTCGTGAAAATCTTACCCACTTAGTTATATTTAATGGGGGCAGTAGTTATCAGGATGTGTCCAAAATAATTGGACGATATACTGATAATGTTAAGAATGCATCAATGGTTATTAATAGTTATCTTCGAAAAAATGAATTTATTGTATTTGATCTTACTAGGTCAGAGGATGATCCATTAGCAATTTGTTTAAGATTTGATACTCCACTGGATTTGCATAAAGAGATAGAGTTATGTCAAAAGCACAAGATAAAAAATGCATTGCCAGCTGAGCCCAAAAAAACTGAAAAATTGAATAAATAATATAATTAAGAAATTGATTAAATACTATGCTTCTATTTCTAAAAGTTGCTTTCGGAATCTAACCTGCAATTGACTCTTTTTAGAATCTATCCAATTAACTGGAATATAATATTCTTTATATTGACTATTAATAATGAAACTGCGCATCATGGGATTGTTTTTATATAATTCAATCCATTTAGTACGCTATTGATTAAATTGTTCTCGAGTCTGAGGATTTTTTACTTTATGTTGAGTTAAACCTAGAAATTTTTTATTATCCAGAGTATTATCATTTGCTAAGCTGTTCCAAGCGAGTCATGCATTTGATGGCTCTCTTTTTTGAAATCGTCTCCAAACATTTTGAATAATTCTTGCCAAACCATCTCTAGTTTTGGTTTATTACAATTATGATTTCAATGTTCTTGCATCAGGTTTTTAGGTTTGAGAATTTCTACATATCTACCTATAGTGTGATGAAATTTCTTTTTTAGCTTCACATCATTAACCTGAATAAGCTTCATACAATTAAGACAAATTGCCATACGAGTTTTATAAATTCTAGATCGGTAGTAATCATGATCTACAAATTTACCCTTACCGAATGCTAGAAATAGAGCATGTACATGGTATATACTTCTCTTTCTCTCAGAGACTAGCTTTTGTAAAAGAATTCAAACTCTGAGTGCCCATTGCTGTGGAGTTTCATTAGGCTGAATAACTGATAAAGTATCATATTGTCTTTCAGTCTCAAAGAGTTCTTCAAAGAATTGTTGATAATCATTAATACTATAATAATTCAGAATATATGAGTTGACATATTTCATATCGTATTCTGGTCTATTATTAATAAGTTTTTGTGATTTAGCTTTTTTATCAAGGATGACTGAAATACTGATGTTTGCTATATTTAATAATATATAGTGATTTAAGGACCTATAATGATTATAAGACTTATAATATATTATGTGATTTTATCAACTTTATATATAGTATAATTTCGATTCAAATTTTGTGTATTCGAAGTCAATATAAAATGGCAAAATTATGTGAAAAATATTCCAATACATGAGCTTTGAGCCAGAGGCAAAAAGTTAGTTGGAATATTATTCAATTACATTATATTTGATTATATTATAATTTAATGCTAATTATTTTTGTATTTTACCAGTAAACCTTTTCTCGTGGGTTCAAGATTTTAAATAAGTAGAAGCAAACATAAATATTAAGTTTGAAGAATGACCACATAGAATTTTTAACATAGCAATTATACTTACCAAGATAGCTTTATCTTGAATTTTTAATTTTTGGTAATTGAGAACCTAACTTTAAAGATTTAGAACACTTCCTATCCCGTATTATAAGCTTTTTTGATGTCTTTGCTTTTTTATTATTATCATCAATACCTATTTCAATATTATCTTCTGAATCTGAATTGCTAAATAAGGAGCTGAATTTTCTATTTTGCTTGATCATTGTTGAATGAATGAAAAAAATGACACTATGTCGTACACTAGAAAGAACTGGTAGATTTCCATAAACCAAAATATTGGATTGGAAGGCAACTATCTGGCCCTGTTTAACATAAAAAGCTAATTTAAATTCAGAAAATACCAATTGCCCACCTTCAAATACTCCAAGTGGGCACACTACACAAAGTGAATTGCAGTGGTCTTTTAGATCCCAATGGAACTAGCAAATAGTGTTAAAGTTAATTGCTATAGTAGGGAAGATCCTGAATAACTTAGGAACATTTGGACCAAGATCCAATCTTTTCATCTTCGCATATAAGATTGGATATGCCACCTGAAAATAATTATTAATAATATTGGATAATGGTTGGAGGCCTTGGATTAGATCATTAACACATTTTCGATGATTTTGGTAGTGTGAGGATGCCATATTTGCTGTGGTATATGGTTCATTATTGCTACTTGTGAAAGCACCAAAAGTCTCCACCATTTGTTTGGCAAATTCTTTAGATTGGTGTAGTGGATTATGGCGAGTGTGCTGATAATAATGATCTACTACTGCTTTGGCATTGTCTGCTACTACAGGATTTGGAAGAGTATAAAAATCTACTATCATTTTACCCAATGTATTTTTAGAACATTGAGGCTTGAGGACATGTCTATATCCACTAAGGTTAATGCCACATATAACTTTTTTTGTTGTTTCGTCTGCAAGATTAAGCTTTTCTTTTGAGTTTTGTTGAAATGTCTTAGGAATAACATAATGCTCTAGAGGTTTTTTCTGAGCCTCTGTCTGCTGATTATGTGCATGTAATATTTTTGCCCAAAGATGATGACAATGCCCTCTAAACTGTTTATAGTAAGTTTTAGAGGTTATAAAGTGTGCCCATTTTGCAAATTCTATCTATTGTTTATGTGTTAAATTGGTGTTAAAAATATTATTAGAATATAATTTATTAAAAATCTCTAACTCTAGTAAGTTTAGAAATTCCGTAGGTACTTCGGAATAGGATGGGATTGATTAGACACTTTGGAGTGGTAAAATTTTATCCATCACCAGTTTTGTATTAATATAAAGTTGATCCTCTCTTTGCTGTTTCTTTTCTAAAAGCTTCTCAAAAAATGTGAATTTTGGACTCATAAATACGGAAGATTGTGAATGATTAGTCGATTTAAGATCTCTTGCCAGAAAATCTTCAGATGTCCACAGATATTGGATATATTCTTGAGATTGCTCCTTTGTGGACAGACATGTTATTCCTTGGGTTTTATGCTTGACCAAAATAAAAAAATAAGTTAGTTTATGGTAAAAAAATAATAGATAGTTCTAAAAAAATATATTAATTCTATCTATTCATCCAAGTGGATACATTCATATCATTCTACATAGTGTAGCCTAGTGGTTTAAAACCTGGGAAGTCTGTTGGACCTTTCTCACCTTGCATACGCCCTACATAGAAGAATGTCGATCACATCTTAGAAACTATGAAAGGTAGAATACCTTATCGAAATATATGCTTATATAAAAAATCAATTAGCTTACTTTCTAAGGAACATAAAATATGTTTATTTTTTCGATATGACTAGTTTCAGCATTGTAACTGGGACCCTTTTCAACGATCAAATGGTCTGGGTCTTTGACTTTGGCCTTTTTTATAATATGTAGTTCTTTTTTACGTAAGTTCCTTTTGGAGGCCTTCGATAATAAAACATTTGGCGATGACATAGTAATAATATGGTAAGTAATTTTATAAAAATAAAAAAAGAACAAGATGTTCTTTTGAAAACTAACAAATTCAGAACAGAACTTTGTAGTAGAGATGACCCTTTTATTATAAATTTCAGTATATAAGATTTTTGATACGAAGCAGTATATATGATATAAATGACTTGGTATTATGATAATTTAACACGAGTCAACTAACAATTCTTATTCTGCACCATAATAATTTAACATGACAATTCTATGCTAACAAACAATTACATATTTACTATATTCGGTACCACAATTATTAAACACGCCAACAATTGCACATTTTCTATATTTGGGATTAGATCATTAATAACTAGTTAAACAGGTATAGTTATATAGGGTACGATAAGAATTTTATATGCTATTTAAGTCCATTTTACAAATTTAGAATAACTGTTAGCTATATAACAAACATGTTAATCAAACATCTAGCATCACTAGGGTATCCATGCTGGAAAAAATAAAGCACATATGTATTGTGTTACATTGTATAATGCAAGTTAACAGACCTGTAGGATCGCTTTTATTTTGGTCTAGGTCGAAGCTAAAATAGCGATTTTTTTTCCTCAAGTATTGTGAGAAGGCAGGTTCGAATGAGCGATAAAACCTTGACCGGCTTTAATAATCAATGGCCTGCATTAAATTTTATGCGGTGTTACCTTAACTTCTCATGGTCGATTTTTGATAATGAATATCTAGAAAGCCTTTTCTTATTATATATGATACTGTAATAAGAAAAAGCACAAATAGAACTTAAAAGGACTATAATAGGGAAGAGTACAACTTTCTTTATAAGTAGTTTTATCGAAATTTATATGTTACTAGGACTTGGAATCTCTGCCATTCCCAGATCATCAACTTTTTTTCACTTCGTAGTAGCGATCGTCAAATCTAAGGGGGTTTAATTTTACCTAAAAAACGATGAAATAGATTCAGTATTTGGAACTTATAGCCGAACAGGGTTGCTTTATGTGGCTGGATCTGATATTGTGTTAGGGTAACGCAATTACTAATCATGTAACTTTTTTTTCTGATAGGTTTCTTAGATCTAGCAAATGGACAGTATAAAAATAAGCGATTTTTTTGTTTCTTGTAGGTGGGTTATAATAATATTTTTTGCTCGTATATGATTTTTTTACCTGACTATAATTTATTTTTAAAGTAATGTCATTTTATCTAATGGTGACTATGAAACTGAATTTTTACTTATTATATTTTTTTTATTTAGAATGAAAAAATGAGCAATAAAAAAACTGCCACCACCAAGACTAATGACACCACCACTAATGACACCATCACTAATGATAATAACGCCATCACGAGTAATAACACTACCATTTTCATGACTAATGACAATAACCCCTCCAAGACCGATTATGTCCCCCCAACACCACCCAATCCAAGACCTAGCCAAAGGACATCTAATTCCAATCATCAATGTAGAAGTAGGAGAAACCGATATGGCAAGTAAAATTCTGCTAAAGTTAAAGGCAATTAAGTATGTTAATGTAACTTTTAGTAAAACTGAAAAAATATAATTTATCACATTAATTTAGATGATTCGACCTATGACTCCAGAAAAGATGATGACTATAACGTTAATGAAGGCAGACCTTTGGATAATTTTTCTGAAGAATATTCAGAATGGTGTGAGGAAAATGATTCCAATAAGTATGAGAATCCTGAACAATAACAAAAAAGACTAAATCAAAATTAATAAATAGTTTATATATATATATTGTTGTTCGTTTGGGCAACTGTGATGTATTTTTTTTATTTGTATACCATTTTAGCAATTTTTTTATGAAATAAAAAAAGGGTTCAGTGGGCTCGCCATTTTTTTTAACTGATCGTGTGAATGGGTTCTACTTATTAACCTATGTTTTTACTGTTACTATTGGGATTGAATTCTGATATTTATTTATATAACAATAGAGACGATAAGTTTTTGTATTGACATATTCACCACTACTCCAAGTACCTTCTATATGATTTCTTATATTTTCTTTTTTATGGTTTTTATCACATAAAGAACAGAGTACAGATTTATTAAAATCAAAATAATTACTATATTTAAAACTATGTTTCAAAGTTAAATAAGGAAATCATTCTAATACTATTTCAATAATGTGTTGTTGCCTTTCTTCCAGGTCTTTAGGTAGAACAGAAATTGGTGATCAAGATTTTGATAACGTAGACTGAACATTTACTTGCAGTACAAATAAAGTTTTCTCCTCAAAAGATATCTGTATGAATTAAGCATAGATTTTTTCCCATTCTTCCATAAGATCATCGAGCTATGCAGTACTCAAACCACTTTTTAGTATACTGTGACATAATAACTTTTTATCAACTAGCCTCTCACGATCAGTTAAAAATTTATGATATTTTCTAGGGTCTTCTTTTATTTCTATTCCACCATGATAGAAATGTATATCTCTTTCCAAATCCCCACGAAAACATCCCATGGTCCACCTATGTTTCTCAGCCTCTGTAATAATCGAAAATTCTTTGAAATTTATTCCATGTTTGATGGCATACTGATAAAGGTAATTTTTGTTTGGCATCATTACCTGAATTTCCAATGAGCTGTCTTATATGATATGATCATCAGCATTTTCGCTTTGTAGGGATTCAGAAGTTTCAGACTTTATCCAAGAATCCAGTCCAGTCTCTTCCGTATATGCTCTATATAATCTAGAATAAATTTTTTCTGTCTGAAAACTTGGTAAATCAACTAAATTAGCATGCCATTTGCAATAGTTATCGGTTAATATCTTGCTGGAGGTAGTATCAGAAGACATGTTATTATTTTATATTAATGCAACTTAATTCAAAATCATGTAACTGCTAGACACGGAATGTTCTGCTCCACAGAGAAAAAAATATCACTATCCACTTGACCAGATTTATGTGATTATTTACTTACACAGTTATCTCAATTTCATGCTGTCCACATTTAATAAAATAAGATTTAGCTTCATATCTACCTCTTATACTCTTCTCATCCTTATGACTTAACTTGCATGCCAGACATAATGACTCCTCATGAATTTTATAATAATCAAATTTTTTATTACTAAATTCTTTATATAGATCAGAATAACTTTACAATATCTTATTACGAAAATAAGCACAGTCACAAATCGGATTATTCTGTTTTGGTATTTTTACCTTGGTTTTTAATGATTTTTCTAGAGTTATACCTGGTAATTTTTTTGAATTTACAGAAATAGATGAGTTTGCCTTTGGTAAAATTTCGGCATGAAGTTCCTGACCAATAGCCAGGATGTCATGTGTTTTTTCCGTAACTTGTTTTATAATATTTAAAATTTGAGCATCAGTTAATTCAGATATACTTCTTACACCATATGAAGTTCCGTAAACTTTGTCGATTCCCATCTCTTTAATTTCTTCTTTAGTTATAGGATCGGTAATTTTTCCAAACAGTTTATAAACATTCTCAGCTCTCTGAGTCTTTTTATATAAATTCGTTTCTGATACATTGAGTAAAGAAGCTCTAATAATAGCATAAACTTGATTTTTTGCAGTTTTATCAGAAACACCAGTTTTGAAGCATATATCAGCAATGCTGGTTTGATAGGCTTTTCTGTAAGTATACCAGCATATTACCTCTTTTTGCTTAGCCTTTATCATTTTACCTTCTGCAAATTCAGCATCAGAAAATAATTGGGCCAACTCTCGTTCATCATTGTTTATTTCTATATTACTATCATGGGTTTCAGAAATATTAGGTTCATTTTGTGAGTATGTTTTTTTATCACTCGATAAGGTAAGAGATTTTTTAATAAACAGGATTACTTCTTGAATTATATCTTGTTCTATTTTCTGATTACAGAGCATTTTTATTTGAATAATAGTTTGCGAAGCAGGATACTTTATGTCTGAATTGCCTTCTATAACTTTATCAGATGACAAAGGGTCTTGGGATCTAAGCTTCTTTTCGCGATTCCTTTTCTTTATTTCATTTCTAATCTGTTCTTTATGCACTTGTTCCAGAAATTCGATCTTTTTATCTTCAGAAGATTTAGACTTTGCGCATATGGATGATATTGTGCATTGAGGATTTGTCAGATTTGTCTCCTAGTATATATTTTCAGATAATTCTGAAAAAGCATTATCAGATACATCAGAATTTGAAATGTTATTAGTAATATCAAATGGAGAAGTATTATCGCATCATAAGTCTATCCGTTCATAAGTATCATTCGAATTTTTCATTTTGGTAAAAACACTTACCATCTCATTTTTGGCTGATGAGGAAATTGGTAATTGCTCTAGAGAATCAGTGGTTATTCTCTTTGATTTGATTTCCTCGAAATCACTTCTTAATTTTACTACTTCAGTTTTAAGCTTAGCATTCTCAAAAGCAGTATCTGCTCTACTTTTCTCCAACTTCTTAATTCTGCTCTTAAACTCTACATCACGTCTAGAATTCTCTTCAATAATCTGCCTCAGATTCGCATTTTCAACCTTGAGTGCATTTTTTTCTTTTACTATCTGCTCCAATTCCAGCTTCAATGAATCTATTTCGGATAAGTACATAGATTCATCTCTTTGTGGTTGCATGCTTAATTTATATAACTTTATTAGAAATGTTCGGAAAAAGATTTTTACTACACACATCTTGAAAAAAATTTTTTTTTGTTAATTCCTTTAATTTAAATAAAAATTATGTAACATCCTGACTAATGGTTAGGAACTCGCTGATCACTTTTCCAAGAAATATTTTTAAAAATTCTTGATTATATGTGAGTTAATATACATCGATAACTACAATAAAATAAATAAATTCACGAAATACACATGCAAAGTAAACGCGATTATATATGTACTGAAATCGGCCACCAGGCCAGCTTTATTAATATAAAAAATAAAAATAACTACAAGATAAATATATATATTTAAAAATTTGTATTTTTTATCTGAAGTACCTATAATTTATCGGTTGTTGACATCATTAATACCACAACGATTAGCATAAAATCAAGTGCAAATTGAAATGCAAGACATATTATATTAGAAAATAGACTTATCAAAAATGAAGCTTATTATATTATTTTACTAATTTAACCTTCTTTTGTTTTGCTGATTCTATTAATTTTTCTGCATCTTTAAATAGCCAAACAATCTGTCCTAAGACCTTGGTAACCCTTTTCTCAAAATTGCTACCCCAATTAATCGAAGTCTCTTCTTCTTAATGGATTCTATATTCTGGTTTATCTTCATTCATAGAACACTCAAAAAAATACTATAATTTACTGTCGGTAACTATTCCATACGCTTTATTAATAACAAAATCATCATCCTCATGTCTTTTCTTTCGAGAGCTCTATGGAATAACAGAGTTAGGTTTGAATAAAATTAATGTAATTAAATTCATATTTTTACTTACTTCAAGCGATGAATGAAGCAGTACGATTATTTGTGCTGTACCTTGTATAAAATCATCTCTTTTTACCTCTAAAACACTAATGATTATTTTTTCCAATATCATACAAAAATCCACTGGTCCACGACCGTATTTCCCTTGGATATATTCTTCTGGATATATTTTAACCTTCGCACCACACACAGAACTTGCTATCGCAAGAAATGGTAACACAAATTTGCTATTATATGCTTCTGAAACACCGTGGATTGTTGATCGATGGATCTTTAGATCTTCGATAAGGTGCAATAACAACTTTTGGGACTTTTCATCTTCAAGCTTATTGGTACCGCAGGTGAATTTAGGAATATCCATGTAATGAGTTGGCAGTTCAAATATATTGCTAACAGCGTTGAAAGTCCATTCTGAATATGGTTTCTGTACAGTATAAACATTGATTTTAAGACTTAGAGAGTTTGTTGCAACATAGGATTTGAGATATTGTTCATATGATTTGTCATTTAGACTTTGCTCCTCATTATTTTTGGCATTATCATTACTGCCACAAAGAATTAAATCTTCCGGATCAACGTCTTCTGGAAAAGATAATTGGTAGTGAATATATGTCTTTAGTTCTTTTAGTGACAAGTTGGAAAAGTTAATAGTTCAGCTAAATTTCTTGCTCTTTTTCACATACGATGCCTTGATTGAAAATACTGTGAAAAATTACAACAAAAAATTAGAACTGAATTACATAATAACTCAACTCCCTATAAAATATAATATATCTTTTTGCCGACCTCGCAAAAATTCCAATTCTTTCTTCAATTCTAGTACTTCTTGTTTCAGTACTTCGACTATGGCATGGACATAGTATGAGGCACAAGTTAATAAATGAAATTATTGCAGAGAAAGCAGTATAGGTTTGGAATATGAGTCAGAGACTCAACACTTTGTGCTTCAAATGCAGTCGTGGTACTACTTACCCTGTTCTTCGCTCTTTATTGTATTGACTAATTTCACGATTCTTTCAGCTAGACCGTCTTCCAAGCCATATTTTATGAGTTTTTCAACATTAAAATCTAGGAAGTCATCACCGGAAACCTTTTTCTTCTCGATAATTTTGATATCTTCATTGTCAAGGTCAAGCTCCTCTTGTTTAGATCGTAAATACGCAAGAACATTTAGTCACTTCCATTGTTGTTGAATCTCTTTAATTGACGGAAGGAGAATATCATCAGACATAATTATTTGTTTTTCACATTACTTGAATAAAATTTTTTTAGCAGGAAATAGTCGTACACTCACCCTTTTTATAGTTTATACAAACAATCAGATTGTCGTACAACAGATCATGCGTGCATTTTTTAATCGTAATCTTCTGATCATACATGTGATTTTGAATACAGTAATAATATCAAATTTTATATATATTTATATAATGTGATGCAGTATTGATTCGAATTTTTCTAAGACTATTGTTTCAGAAGAAATAGCACTTACAACCTGCTTTAGGATACCACACCCATGATCACTTTTTTTAAAAAAATAACAATTTCATTAGAACATTAAACATGCTTTGGAGAGAATACACTGGGTCAATGTAGATGAATGCGTGGAACAGCCAAAATTTTCAAGCAAAATACATAAATCACAATTATGTATATTATTGCTGAATGCTTTTATGTATCAGAAAGATTTTTACAATATCGATATGTTGTTAATTAACTGAATCAGAATTTTAGCTACTGAAGTAAATATATTGGGTCAATGTTTAACTGATACCAATATCAACCTATACAACGAAGTTAATATCGATATGTGGCATGAGTTAATTGACCGACTTTGGTTAGCATTAGGTACTAATTCTAGAAAAATAGCACTTTGAGATTGTGCTCCATCTCACAAATAAGTTATGCATAACGATAAGCCTCATATAAATTTTATAATATGTGAAATTATTATACTTGTATGTATAACGATAATTGTTTGTCGCTTATTCGAGAATTTTCACATTTACATTGTCTATATATTCCATCAGCTACTTTTTTGCATGTTTTGCAATATAGGTGTGAATGGTGATTGCATTTGTCACAAACCTTACATCCTCGCTTCCAACCTCTGAAGATATGCCACTTTTCGATATAATTGTGTCTTTTTTTATTTGTTAATGCATTATTGCTATTTGAATTTTTCATTATTATATATTACAGAAAAAATAATATATACATGGCTAAAAAAATTTTTTATTATACAAATCTGTAATGTGTGGCAGTTATGTTTATGATCAATTTACAAACAAATTATACGTGCACCTTATAGAGGTTGTACAATATATGTCTTAAATAAATTATATAAATTATGCATAAGCTATAAGGTAGTATTGATGATATGTACTACACGGACCTCAAACTGAAAGATCATAATAACTTTTAATTTTGATTGTATAGCAATGAAGTTTCGCTTCGAATTTATAACTAGACACATTTAAAAATCAAGTAATAATAGAATATAACTTTATTATAAGAATAAAAATGAGCTAGGGTGAGCTAAGTAAAAAACTCAAGAGTAGTGAACATTTAAAGGAAGGAATCACTTGAGCCCTAACCCATAAAATGAGAGTTCCTTCCTGCTACTCTGTATTATCTGCTAAGTTAAAATTATTTTTACTATCTATCCAAGCACCTATTTTATTTAAAGTACTACCTCTAAAATCACCATTATTATAATAAAAATTTTTTATAGTTTTCTTACTAATCTTTCCCATCTCAAGACCATGAATCTCAACAGACACCATATTACACATATTGTTGAAAGAATAATTATTGTCTGTCATAATCTTATCAAAAATAATTTTAAAGTGATTATTGGTTGTTAAGGTAATATCAGAAAAAGATAATTGGCTTAAGCCATTGGAAAAACACAGAGAAGAACCAGAAGATCTGAAAGAAGAACCAGACGATCTTCAGAGGAAATTAGACACAGGTACAAATGGACTAGCAAATTCTTCAGATCTTAATGGGGTTACAGAACCTGTCTCAGTTATTTGGTCCAACTGATAATGAAGAGATTCATAATTGGCCATGATTTCTTTAATAGTTTCAATCATGGTATTCACCATTACTACGATTCTCTGTCCCTCAACAACAAATATGGTATGTTCTGTTGTAAGATCCACGGTTAATCTTTTCACATGTGTATTGAGTTCTGCAATGAGTTGTTGTCTAATAAGATACATAGTGAAACACGTAGCAATGAAAATCAGGTGGATAGGAATTTTCTCAGCAAATATCATTAGGCACACGAAGAACAAAAATGAGACAACTTCTGAAACATTAACCGAAGACATATCTATAATGGAAAAAAGATTATTAGTAAAGATACATGAGCATAAATAATAACCTAGCATATATGCAACTCAAAATCAACCTTAATTTGTATGAAACGGGTAAAGTAAGTGGAGTTTATTTTGTTGCTCTTAGCAAGACTACTATGTCTGAAAAGTATTTTTATTATTTTAGCAAAGTTAAGGTACAAGATGCAAAAGCTTATTAAATGATTTATTTTTATTTTTACTGATATTACTAATAAGAGCGTAGAAAAGAATGACTAAAGATTTTTGAATTCCTTTTATACAAGATTTCACGACTTAGAATCTGATTCGTTGTATCTGTTAGTAAAGGCCAGAACATACTGGAAAAAAATGCTAATTACGTTATTATCACATTATTATTGGATATGAGTATTTGATTCAGATAAAAAAAGAAGACCCGATTCTAAAGACTAACAATACAAGGTCTGGGTAATATAAATCAAGATATGTGATATTTATTAGCAGAGCAAGCACAAGGTGCTAAAGCTAGTATATCTGATGAACATTTACAGTTACAATGATAATCATCACATTACGATTCTGATTAATATATATATGTGGATTTTCATACAATTGATAACCGACTTCTGAAATAACATTAGAACGATATACGATCTTATTTAGAATTTGACTCTCGCAATGCTACTCAATTTTTGGTTAGATATCGGATATAATTTTACCACTCAAAGTATATTTAGAGGTAAAATTACGTATAATCGATCATTGACAAATTTATCCTATTTTATTAGTAAAAGTAGCAAGACTAACATATCATTCCTTATATTATAGAAACTTCGGTATATAGACCAAGTACTATGTATATGTTACTGAGAATATGCTAGAAAGTTTGAACAAAAACATGATAAGTTCGGGTATTATTTTATGATGATTGATCGATTCATCTAAGACACACATAATATCGCTACCATATGTGATTTAATAGATCATGACTCAGACTAAGATTTGCTTATATTGGATTTACATATAACATCGTCCCTGAGGCCCATTATAATGTGATATGATTTAATTTTGTGATCACAATCTGGATTAACTAATTTTTACGTAATACATTTTTATTATCCGTAATCAAAGCATGTGTTTGAATGCAAAGTTGATCAAATAGCCAAAAGAAAAAATATATATGGCAGATGGGTAAGTTGGCTTTTTTCTTCCTACATTAGATATTTTATATATTCAAATGTATCTTTTCCAAAATTATATGAATCTAGAGGGTTTCCATAATTATAATCTTCAATATTTGACAATATTGCATTTCTAATTCTTTTATTGAAGATCATATTATTATTTAATAAATACCTTTCTACTTTTATGAGCTCATCAAATATTGTCAATGCATTATTATATATGGACTCAATTTTATTATCATTTATATATGATCCTCTATAGCATCTGTCTAATTTTCTAATAAATTATGATATTTTATATTAAAGTATTTTCACCTTTTATAAAGTTCATGACAAATTTCTTTATACCATATGCGATTAATATAAATACAGTCATTTAGATCTTCTGTTGGCATTTTTTGGATGATTTTAGTGATGGTTTCTGAAAGTGTAAATGGGTTGAATATATGCATGTTATATTGTATATATCAAATATGTGGGTTTTATTAACTAAGACTTTTTATTCTTTTAGAATTTTGCATGATATCTTGATTTTATACCAAGTTCTTCAACTTGAAATATTCTGCGAATGTTTTTTTATTTTAAAGAAAAAAAATATTAACTATATATACATCTGGATCACTGCCATGATCTAGACTCTATGATTTCGGTTACAAAGAAGACAAGTAAGGCATACATTCCTTTTAATATGTCCCAAACTATTGTGAATTCGATCTACTGTCCACTGAAGTATATCTCCTGGCTGATCCTATTCAAATTTCATTTCGATGAGACATGATGCGCATTTGTCTTCTTGAATACATTTTAATGTGAGGATATAGTCAACTGTTAGATCAAATTTACGACCTTTTTCTTTGTCCTGGCCTATATATCTGATAAGTTTTTCCTGAATAGACGGTCTCAATTTGTGCTTTAGCTGTCTTTTCTTTTTTGCTTTCTCAATCTCTTAAGCAATTTTAGGAGGTAATGGAGGCACTTCAACTCGAATGAGTTGGTTTAAATATTCTACACGACCAACTGCCAAATATATTAGATTATCCCAGGCTAAGTTTTTATCAATAATCCAAACATGTTGTGATGACTTAAGAGTCATCCCCTGACTAATATGAATAGTCATAGCATATCCAAGTTCCCAATCTATGACTTTTTTATCTGCCAACATATCTTTTAAGAATTTGTCAGGAAGTGTATTTAAGGATAAGTATACTATGTCATTTTTTACTAACTTCTTCTTTTCAGATAGGCCAGGGATCTGAACAAGGCAGTTTTGTTTGCGTCTATCTTTTGGCCTATAAATTAATGAGATTGGAATTTCAGGATATTTTATTGATAAAGTTCTAAACATTTTTGGGAAGCAATTCTCTGAGAAAGTATATGTGCTGATAATATGCGATCTGAGAGAGTCCATTCCTTTTCGAGACATTCTCATTTTTCTATAGTTGGAAGAATTCCTCAAATAATTTTGATTGTATTCGATTATTTTGTCGATGCATAGCTTTTTTGAGTTCACATAATTTAGGACATTTTGCACGATAATCAGTTAAAACTTCTTCGTAATAATCAGCATGCTCTTTTAACCAATTATGCAGCATTTCTCCAAAGAATAGCAGAGGTTGTGCATCGTTACTACAACAAATTATCTGGCATTTATGTTCTAATAAATAATTAATGAACATTTCAAGAATATGCTTAGGAACTGTACATACCTCATCCCAAATAACAACTTATAGAAATTTTTTCTCTCCCATGCGTTCAGATGTCCACTCCCCCACTCCATTCCATCTGAAGAAACTATGCCAGGTTTGAGCTTTTACATCACGTTTTTCTTGAAAATCTTTAGCTAATACATTTGTATGAGTAAATATAACTATGTTTATATTTTTGAAAATTCGAATTGCGCATGTTGTTTTTCCTGAACCACCTCCTCCATTAAGATATGATTTCTGACATCTTGTAATAGGATCATGAATCGAGGGTGCTGTACTTTCAGGAATATTTTTGATCAATTCCCAATGTCTATTCTTTGGCCAGTATACAATATCGGTAACTGGTCTATATATTTTTTTACCTTTGTCATGCCATTGACCGAGTTGAATTTCTCAGATTTCTTGTTCTTCTGGTTGATGTGAAAGAGCATAGGAGTCTGGTTTATAAAACTATTTCCCAAAGCAAAATCTGAAACAAATGGTTTATGTCTTTTGCAATCATATTTTATTAGAGGCCTTTTTGTTTTTAGAAACTCTTTAATCCATTTTGCATATTCAGATTTTGAAATAAATAATTCTTCTGGATCAGTACACATTGCACAAGAAGGATAGTGTGAACATAAATTTGGATCTGACTTTACCTCAACTTGCTCGAAGAATGCCGGTATATTTTCGATCTTATATAAAGCCTCTTTTCATACATATATAGAATCTGTAGCAATCCTTACTACTTCATTAGGATCAAATCTTCGAAGCATCTCTAACAAATTAATATGCGCATATGCTAACATTGAGGCTCGCAAATGTGTATATTGAGGTTAATGTCCCTCGTAATATGTAAGTATGAATCTGAGTAGACATTTTTCTCTTTTGGCAAAAGTTCCAGCATCAGTACAATCTTTGATCAAGAAATCAAGCTTATCTTCATTTGTTACAAGTTGATAAGTAAGGCATTTTTTATTAATCTTGCCACCTTGTGTAAACTTATTTATAATTGCACAACTAATATCTCGATTTCTAGGTAGCCATACTTTGGTCTGTTTAGTAAGAGAAATTATTGCCTCTTCAATAGTCACACTTTCTAGAATACCAACCTCAAAAAGATATCGTAGAAGTACAATAGGTGCCCATTCTTTTTCTTTCCCACATCCTTCTCCACTTTAACACGCAAAATGTTTTCCATACCAGACAGGAATCACTGAATGTATATTTGATGCAAATTTAAAAGATCTTATCTGCGCAAATCCAGTGATATCATTCTCTGGCAATTCTCCATTTACCACAACTCGAACAAAGTAGTGTGTTGGATGTCTGAACCTATTGAACCATGGTGTACATTTTCCTTGACCTCGCATACTTGCTAGATAACATTCTTTCATATCGATATATATGACATCATTGACATGATAATCAGTGCATTCCAGTGTCTATCATGCCCATGCTCGACACAGACTTGCCTTATATTTTCATTTACTTTTCCAGATATTGAATGCCATTTATTGATTTCATTAGTGAGTCAGCTTCCAGCATGGTTTGCACCAAATACCTGCTCTGCTAAATCAACAACTTTTAAAGACTCTAAAAGAATTGATTTCTTTTCCTTATTGATTATTCCTTCCTGATATTGCCAATCTATTGTATCATTGACCAGTTGTTTACATGCTTCTATAATTTCTGTATGTTTTTTCCATGTTCTAAATGTGTGACCATCTTCTAGAACAAACTGGGATATTGTTTGACTCATATCCTCTACTCCCATAAGCCAGATTGCTTGAGGTTCCCTGAGGGCATTACTGATAGCTTCCCATGTATCACCCTTATAATATTCGACCATTTGATCTCTTGGGAAGTGCTGGTTTCTTGGAAATGCATGGCCATTATGAACTACTATTCCGATTTCTTCATACTTACCTG